GTAAACATCGGCTCGTACTCGTAGATCTACCAGCTACGTAGACCATGATGTAGACTCTCTACCCTGCATGCATGCGCTTGGCACGACTCAAAATCTCAAGCGCCTTGGCTTTTCCACTTCCCAGATATCTTCACAGCTCGCTAGTTTCGCGCGCTTTTACGAATCTGCACGAAGTCAGCTGACGAAAGGTTTTCTGATTTTCCATTGGAGACAACGAGGAGAAGGTTGCAAGGCGATCAATATCCTTCGTGTGATGGAAATTTCTTATTGTTGGAGGAGCTGAATCATCGTCAAATCCCATCCACAGGATCAATATGATGACGAGCGATCCTACTGTGGTTGTCGTCGAAGACGAGGATGGCAAAGCGGAGAAGATCACTTCACCAACTGCTGGTACGTAAATTAGGAAAATTGTTCAATAGTCGAAATTGATCTTTGAGTGAATGAGAAACTGTACGGTGTTGTGCTTCAGCTGCCTCTGCAAGATCTCCAATGACTCCGTGCACCCCATCCACGCCTATGAGCCAGGAGGTGAGCATGGTATCCGACAGCAACGGTTCATCGTTCACACCACAGTCAGTGAAGAGAGGTGAGATTCGCCCTGTGTCCATCTCGTTGAGAATTATTTAGTTTCTCAAGTGCTCAAGTACAACGATGTTTTATGGATGGGTTTTGTTATTTCAGCTGGCACGGATATTTCTAATCTGCCCGTCTCTACACCGAAGCGACCAAAGCAAGTAAAAGTAAGACGATCGCCAGCTGAGATCGAGCGAGAGAAGCAGGTAAGCATTATGGCTTGAATCTCTTGTCATTTGTTGTCTGTTTCTTGGTGCCATGAGCTGCGCACAGTCGACATGTGGGTCAGATGGCTAACCAGGATAGTGTTGTTGATGCTATTGATGCTGCTGGTGCTGATGCTGCTACTGCTGCTGCTAATGCTGCTGCTGATGCTGCTGCTGTTAGTGATATTGTTGCTGCTGCTACTGCTGCTGCTCTGACTCAGTACACGTGTGTCAAGTAAGCATGCTGTATTGACTAGAAAGGCAGAATGCCTCTAAATTGAGAGGGCAATGTGACCTAGCACATCTACGGAACTGGCCAGAGAAATCCAACCTCTTGAATATAATACTAGTAGCGCGGGCACTGCACACAGTGTTCTGTGCACTCGACCGCGGCACTACTATATCCGTGAGGTTGGATTTCTCTAGCCAGAACTGTACCACAGAGCTACTCAATGAAATCCGATCGCCTGAATCAAGTGTGCGCCCTGCACTGGTTCACTATCCCAGTGCTGGCAGGTCTAGGGCTGCACACAGCGCCCGGCGTGGTATTCTCACGTTTGATCGGATGTCATTGAGCAGCGCTGTACTGTGCAGTGTCTGCTCCAGAGCCAGGTGAGCCGGGTAATTGACCCGGTTCGGCGGCGCTTGGACCCGGTTGAAAATATAGTACCGGGTCACCTGTGACCCGGTTGGTACTTTACACGTTCGAACTTTGAAAGGACTGACAGGTGTTGTTTTTGGAAATGGAGCCTCCAGCGAAGAGGCGAATCCACCCTGCTTCCAGGACTCTTGGAAAACAGGTCGTCCTTGGCATGTGACTCGGCTTGTGAGACAGCGCCAGGTACATGTACATGTGTACCCGGCTCCGACCCGGTTGAAATGGTTGCGCCAGGTACACGTGTACCCGGCTGTCCTACAATCCTAGAGCAGCTCTGTACTGTGTACATATTGCAAACTGAATATGTCTGCAGGGGTGTAGCAGCCAGACCGGCCGGTCAAGCTTTGGTCGGACCACTTTTTTAAAAACTTTTTTAACACAATGCCAAAAGTGCCCAGAATGCAGTATTTTGTACCCTAATTTCAAAAAATTCCGGGGGGGGGGACACCCCCTACCGGACCGGGGGACACCCCCTACCGGATCACCTCCAACGGCAGTGCTACGCGCCTGGTCTGTAAGAGGAGGTTTGCAGCCTACGGCACGCCATGACACCGGTGCCTGTAGCCACTTGCTAGAAGTACTGTGTTGTGTGTGCATGTGTGCCATTTGTCGCCAGTTACCGTAATCACGGTGTACGTCATGATACCGTGTCTAGTATGCTAAGGTGTAGTATAGAAGTTCTACGAATGATGTCACAGGGTGAGTCAGTGGATTTTCTATTGGGAGCTAAGTATGCAGTGGAGTCGCTATAGTGCAAGTGCAGCGCTGTGCCGCGAGTCCACTGCGCGACCTCGCCAAAGCATCTCGACTGATGGTGTCATCGCGTGACCTCCATAGCCAGGCCTACTGTTATCATTGTGTGGTGCTCACCATCGTTGACTGCCTGTAGACGACTGTATCTGTTTTCCATCGCATTCGCTCCTGCAAGCATGCATTCTACTACTGCCTATTCTGATGGATGTCGTGTGGATGTGTGCTCTCTCTCTCTTTTTCTTCTTGCTGCCTTTTTGCAGGAAAAGGAAGATCGGCGTTTAGAACGTGTAAAGCAAGCAGAGGAGGCTCGCATTCGTAAAGAGGCCGAACAGAAGCGAAAGGACGAGGCCAGACTAAAACGTGAAGAGGAAAAGCGTAAGCGTGACGAAGAGAAGCTGAAACGTGACGAAGCCAAACAGCTTGCTCTTAAGTAAGTTCGGCATGGAGCAGTGCCAATATTGTGTGAGCAGTTTCAATTTTTTTCTTCTTGTTCTGAGCAACTGATGAAAGCCATAGCATAGGTCTGTGTACAGAATGTTGGTACTGCAAGAGCCACTAGCTTGATAATGATGAATCTGACATACTGTAAATATACAAATTTTCGGCAGCTATTTAATTTCGGCTATATTCGGCACCGACCCAAAATGCCTAAATTAAAACGCCGATGAAATTTTTCACAGCATCTGTCGCACTATACCATGCCCTCTACCCCACGCCGAAAATAAATCGCCGCCGAAATGTCAAAAATCGTGAAGTGCCGAAATTTTGCAGCGCCCAAATTTTGTATATTTACAGTATTCATAATTCCTTTTTCTTCATTCCGTGTACACTGTATTTGTTCAACACACCCAGGGCGAAACAAGAAGAGAAGGACAAGAAAGAGGAAGAGCGTTTGAAGAAAGAGGATGAAAGGAAGAAGAAAGAAGATGAAAAGAAAGCCGTTGAAGACGCAAAGAAGAAAGAGAAAGAAGCGAAGGTACGGTGTTTCCACCGCTCGGCACGGTGCTATGAATAAAGTAACTACTACCCTCATACCTCGTTTATCCGGGACCGGGCACTGCTCGTGACTTTGAAATGTCCGTAATTCCAAAACGCATACATTTTGATGGGGGAAAGCCTTAGATATGCCCACTGGTACATGGTGGCACTGCCCGTATTTCCGCAGAAAGTGACAGAAGAGTAGTAATATTTCCACAAAAGAGTAGTAATATGTCCACTGAAACTCGCCCAAAGGGTGCCCAGTAGACCGAAGTGCCCGTAACTTCGGGGTGCGGATAACCGAGGTATGAGTGTACATCAATAGTACGTCTTACACCCTGAACGTACTAAGCGGTTTTGACTGTATGTAAATGCCGTCAAAGGGTCAACTCCAGATCAGCTTGCAATATGCTGGGCAGACTAAACCAAGGACTTGTCTATCTTTCTTTTCTTTTTTTCTCTCTGTCTCTCCCTTCCTCTCTCTCTCGCTCTCTCTCCTCTCACTCTCTCTCTCTCTCTCTGTCTGTCTCACTCTCTGGTCACCCAGCCTAGTCCACCAGTTGTAGCAGCATGGATCTTGGAGTTACAATAAGCTCAGTCTTCTGGCATTGTGACTATTCTTGTCTCGCTATAGTGTTTAATACATCTCTGCTTTTTGTTTTTGTTTTGTCCTCTTGTCATTTCAGAGTCTGAAAGAAAAGAAAGAGAGCAAGCAGTTTCTCAACTTCTTCAAGTCACCCGTAGAAAAGGCGCCGCCAACACCCAGAAGGGTACGTGCCACGCGGATTCCTAAAGCGCTGGCACCTGAAATCCGACCTCTGGTGCGGTGCACTCGCATTGCAAAGACCCGTCACGGGATTGTGACGCTACGCAATAGAGACCGCTAGAATCGGTGCTGCACACTAGAGCATGAAAATCAGGGGTCGGATTTCACTTGCCATCGCTCTAGTACAGTTGTGTACCAGTTACATGTCTCTGACACCCTCGGGACCGGGCGCTATTGGAAACTGTATTTTCTGGAGTATAACCCCCCCCCCCCCCCTTTTGCCACGAAATACAGACATCTAGGGTATTCTATTTATCACCGTTACAGGTTCGCCGTACAACACATATCTATGTACACTGCAAAGTATTTTCACTGCGAGTGAATGAAATGACGACGCAAAACTCTAGTGCTTTGGAATCCACTACTTCATGAATGTTGCTGTACGTGCATGCGTACGCATGTGTGTGTGTACGTGTGTGTGTGTGTGCGCGTGCATCTGTGTGTGTGTGTGTGTGTGTGTGTGTGTGTGTGTGTGTGTGTGTGTGTGTGTGTGTGTGTGTGTTTGTCATTCAGGTGGCACTGGTCTCCACCACATCGCGGTTTCCTCCGTTTCAGGTTCAGCCCGGCATGACCCTTGCACCTATCTTGCGTCGTGATCCTCTCCGGGATACGCGGGAATTTGACCAAGCGTTACAGGTACATGCGTGCTGTCTTCTTCTCTTGATACGCCGTACACTCGGTCCTGGTGGTGATATTAGAGAGGTTCTGCAAAACGAAAATGCGTACAAACTTTCGCTCTACGTCATGAAGTGCGAAACTTCACACGAACTTTCGCAACTTTAGATGCGAAACTTGCTGGGAACGCGGAATGAACTTTCGTAGGAAGTTTCTTGAGATGGGGTCATGGCGTACGTGTGCACTTGGTGTGTGCAAACTACGAAAATGTGCTGAACGCAAATTCGTACGTACTTCCGCAAGGACCGTCGCGAAACTTCGTTCGAATTTTCGTCTTGCAGAACCTCTGGTTCCTTTCTATGGCTGTTGTCGGCTGCACTGTTGCTTGCTGATCAATCTTCCTGTGCGCTTTTCGTATGACAGGAAGCAATGCGCAATAGAAATACATGTACTTGAGTATTTCAAAGGATCAGTCGTGGAAGTGAACTGCCTGAAAAGAGAGAGAAAAATGCCAGACCCACCAGTATTTGTATTTACTTATTCAAGGATTCCCCAAAGGCTGTTCGCCTGTCGAGGGGGGGATCCTATGTGTTGCATTAAAATAGCCGTGTTGGGTAAAGATCAAGTGTGGTTCAGCACAGGTGCGTCACTACCACGGCTGTTTCAAGTGTGACATGAGCCAAAATGGTGTCGTTTTTGCACTGCACGTGCGGAGTCGCGTGGCCGGGCTTCTCGTACTTCATGAACAGAAATTTCCGAAATCCATCGAGTGAAAAGATGAAGTTTGAAGCATTTTGTTTCATTCTCTCGCGATAATAGGCGGCCCTGTTCCGTGTACCATTGTTGGCTGGCCTCGCGCCTCGTCTTGCCGGCCAGCTCAATGGGAGACGCGACGAAATCGCCAAACTGCGAATTTGAGTTGAATAAAACAATAGAGAAATGATAGTGGATAGTGAGTCCTAGGGATGAAACGATTATCCATTTCTTCTTATCGAGTACCGTTTATTATAAACGATTGAGTTATCATAAAACGAGTATGCTGGATATGTATGGCATATCAAAATTTTACTGCACTGGTCTCTGGAACATGGTAATAGTGCATGAAGGACCTGTGTATACAGTAAAATACAGAATACACTCGTAACCGGAGGACTCCGCTCTCTGTATACGCTCGTAACCGGAGGACTCCGCTCTCTGTATACGCTCGTACATGTACATGTATGTCACGAATGCTGACTAATGGAATAACACATCTCGAAGTATAGTGCACTGTGACATCTCGTATAGAAGTACTGTGACACAGTTATAGACTCCCAATGACAATCAAACCCTGCACAGCCAGTTTGTTTTACTTGGGGGGGGGGGGGGGGGGATACAGCTGAAGCATCCGCAGCTAGAGAGGGTGCACGCTGCTCCATAACCGATGTCAAGTCAGTGATGACGGAGCCTGTGAGAGCATGGTGAACATGGTCACCAATGATTGAGCCCACATGATACACTTGGTGGCAGATGTCGTGCTTTTGTAAAGCAGCCTCAACGTACTGGTCGCACGGCCCGTTGTCAAGCTTTGCCTTTGCGAGGGTCTGCTCGTGTTTGCTGATGTCACCCTGCAGAGCTGTGACCTGCTGCTGTATTTGCGTGGCAGCATGCGGGACGTTGCCAATGTGTTGCACAAGTGATGCAAAATCAGTGGACAGATTGCTAGGCGTGTATTTCTCGTTGAACGCAAGACTCGACTCTTGCAGAACGTACAGCCGTGATCTGCATGGAGCACCTAGGCTACAAGTTTGCCTGCACAGCCACCACCAACACAGTGCTTGTACCCCTCCTTGCTACTACGAACAACGACTTGCTGACACGGGTTAGCGATGTAGCGTGGATGTATGTGTGCCTCCTCCTCCTTGGTGACATCACACCCAAAGACCTTTTGTATGCCAACGGAGTAGTCTTGAGCTTCGTGTTTGGCATGCGACGAGAATCTCTCCCCACCATTTCTGCACACAGCTGAAAGGTACTGCACGTGTTGATCCATATTCAATGCTAAGTTGGCATCACAACGGTGCCTCGGTCCAAGGCTAAGTGCGTCGGTCCAGCAAAGATTTATGCAGAATTGGAAACTAGCCAGGCAACGTAAGCAAAGAAAACTAAAAACTAACCCAGGAAAACAGGACGAAGAGCAACAGCAGCCTTTGGAAACGACCTCCGGTGATCCCAGCTCCTACGCTACGACTTCAAAAACAAGCAAACTCTCAGAACTGGAAACGACTCCAACAGGGAAACGAAAGGGAGAAAGAAGGTCGCTCGAACGATCGCGCTGTCAGCTTATTCTCTTGCACCCGGTGCACGGGAACTGGATGTTCTGAGTGGTGTGTGAGCGATGTGGCGAGGCAATATCGATAGGTTTGAGACGTGGGTGAGGATCGCGAAATTGAGGCTCTCGAGGGGGAAAAATTGAAAAACGCCATCCAAATCTTGAGCTTGACTCGAACCCGGTGCCTCGTGTCGCTTTTTCATGAGTTTGAACAGCCATGCTACGAACTTAACGATTTTCTTTGCAAAGCAATGAATAAAACTACTTGTATGTGCGCACTCATATCCCGATCATAGCAACAATTGAAGGAAACCAGAACGTTTTCTTGTCACAATTATCAATGGAATTCGTAACTAAAGGGAGTGATGAAACTACAATAGGAATTATACACTTGAATCCTCTGGAATCCTTCAATTGTTGCGGCAAGGGGATCGGATTTCAATTGCCAGCACTGGAGTTGCATTCATTGTTTTATTAAGATTATTGTCTCCACGTCGCCTGTTCAAAGATTTTCTTTGCGGTTGACGCTTTCTCCGGCAGTTGCACACTTCTGGGGTTTGCACTCTTTACATGCCTGGGAGTCATATTTTTAGGACTCGGCTTTAAAATTTGCTTTTTTCCTGACAAAGGATCTTGTTGTGATGCAGTTCCCGGTCCTCCCTCGCTTTGCTTGCCTGTGCATGACAACAGAGTTTCGTAACAAACCTTTCGGTGTGATTTCCTAATATCCGGTAATAAAGCTGAAGGTGTACTGTAATGTAAACAAGCATTTCGGAGACAGCAACTTTAATATGGCAATCAAGAGTACTAACTGTGCGGTAACCATGCTTTATTACAATAGTTACAAACATGCGAGAGAAATGTGCACACATACCGCTAATGTTGCATACTAAACCCGAGCTTATTCCTGTAAAAGCCGATGTCAGGGCTAGTCTTCTATTCAAGTCAGTCTTCTATTCAAGTCAGGTTTCTATTCGAAGCACGTATCCCGAAGTACTGTAAGTCTACAAATGTTCAGCCCATTCAAACTTTGGCCTCCCAGGGTTAAAACACATTTCGGTCACATCAAATTTTCGGCCTGTACTGCTGCAGCCTGTATACACTGTCACACTGAACTTTGCAAAACAAAATTTCGGCCGCATATGACCGGGCCGAAAATAAAATACGCCGAATACTTGTTGACTTGCAGTACAGTACTGTCGGGCGCCGAAGAACGACCAGGCTAGAATTTCACCCTGGCACAGCATACCAATGTATACACGGTGACTCAACAGTGCATAGACTGTAGTACATGAAAATAAGAACAGTCTAGGCTAGGAGGCTGACCCCCTCCCAGTTCTTCGGCGACTGACAGTACTGTATGTCAATACTAAACCAGGCTTATGTGCTGACCTTGCATTAGGCTTGTCTTCAAAACAGTCTTTATATACAAGACACTACGGTATTAACATGTTTTGATGCGTTTGTCTATTGTGTTGGTCAGCTTGGAACATGCGACACTCCACTGTACTTGGTGGAATACTAAACCAGGTTTATGTGCTGACATTGCATTAGGCTTGTCTTCAAAACAGTCTTTATATACAAGACACTACGGTATTAACATGTTTTGATGCGTTTGTCTATTGTGTTGGTCAGCTTGGAACATGCGACACTCCACTGTACTTGTTGGAACTTGCTGATCGGGTAAAGAACCAGCGCTATCGTCTTGTTGGCCCAAAACGGAAAGAACGAGAGTCTGGCTTGCATCCCAAGATGTTGCAGTTTAAAGAGAATCATCGGCCGGCGTACTGGGGCACCTGGCGCAGAAAGAGCAAGACCGTGCGCGGACACAAGCCGTTTGCGCGCGATGACGTGAGTGCCGAGTTGTGTTATCAACTTGTCGTGTATGTGTGAGTGTGTGTGTGTGTGTGTGTGTGTGTGTGTGTGTGCGCGAGCGTGTGTGTGCGAGCGTGTGCATGCGTATATCTGTATACCGTATTTCCCCGATTGTAAGGCGCACTCGATTATAAGTCGCACCCACACTTTGAGGTTTGAAGCACATTGTTTCGATACATGCATATAAGTAGGATGTCACTCTCGATTGTAAGTCGCATCCCCTTCTTCGCTCTTGAAGCTTAGTGCGAAAAGGTGCGACATATGCGGGGAAATACGGTAATTATGTGCATATGTGTATGGATGTGTGACCTGTGGTATGAACCATTCTTCCCAGAAAAAAAACATTTGGCCCGCATCTGCACCACAGCATTTTTGTTGTCACTGTGTGCATATAAATCTTTTTCAGAATTGGCCAGATCTTAGCCTAACTCCCTTGGATATGTGTAGGAGACATTTGCAAACCCCATCTCAGGAAAACCGAGGAGCGATTTTCTAAACTCTCAAACCCTATTTGTATTTTTCTAATTGGCCGTAAACTCCGAACCAGCCACTTACACATATACATACCGTAATCTCGCGCTTATAAGACCATGGTCTTACATAGTCTTATATTCAAATATAAGACCGCCTCCGGTTCTAAGACTGTGGCCTTATAAGGGGCCATCCGTAAATATAGATATTTATTTAGAAACGAAAACTAGTCGTTTAGGGGGGGGGGGGGGGGAGGGGGTTGAGCGCCTGTTCGTTTCTCGAAAAAATATCGATGTACATTTTGCATGCGTGAGCATGTCCAGAAAAAGAACCAAAATATCTCACTGCTTTGAGGGAGAGACACAAACGGGAAAGGTCTGAAGAAAAAATTGACTGTCACCACCAAAATAAATATCGATATTTAAGGAGGCTCCAACCTTCTGCGCTGCGCAGCCGGTCTGGCGCTCTGTTTTTTGCAGGCAAAAGTCTTGTTTTTGCCGATAAGTGCGAAAAGTTGGGAAATTCCCATCTCAACTTACTAAAATTTGAACTCCGCGATCGACAGTCTTATCAGAGAATATTGTTTCATTCTTCACCTGTAGTCTTCCCTGGGCCCCATCGAGGTTCCTGTTGTTTTTTCCTCCGTTGTGTCAGTGGGTATCAGGGCATGTTTTCAGAAGCATCGCTGGTGTGAGCAAGAAGTCGACTTTACAGCTCGATTTCTCGAGATCCTGAATAATTTTGCTTGACGAAAAAATGAACAAGGAGAACGGAGCCAAGCTTCTCGATGGCTGTGTAACACCATGTACCAGGCCAGGGACCAAAACCTACTGTAAGCGCGTTTTGGAGAGAGAGACTGAAGTGTGGGTGCACAGACTCTGGTAAGTGGACCCACTTCTAATTCTCAAGTGGCGAAATATATTGCTACGCTGAAAACATTGCAGTCTTGAGTGAGTGGTAAATCGTTGGTGAGCTACTGCTCAGTGACTTGGGCTATTTACGAAAGCTGTGACCATGGTGACAGTGTCAGCTGCCAACGTCGCCAGCAGTAAGTCATCGATGCATCACCTGCGTCCACTTGAATAAAATGCAGCACTGAAAATTGAGTATGTTGTTTTGCAGTACTATTCTCTATTGTCAGTGTGTGAAGTATTTTGTAAATGTTGTGTTGTACAGCACCAGTTCTATTATGATGAATGCATGCACCTCTACCCATAAGCACTATGTGCATGCACATACGCAGGCACGCGTGTGAGCCTAAATGTTGTTTGTGTGTGCGCGCGCGCGCAGTGCATGTTGTGTGTGCGCGCGCGCGCACGCGTGCACAAGTGCATGGACAGCAGAATATGGTAACTAAGCTCAAGAGCATGCATTTTGCATGTGGGTGTATGCTATTGCGGGTGCGCGTATATGACGTACGTGTATTTGTGTGTGCAAGGGGTACTTGTTTGTGAGCATGTGCATGTAAGCGTACATGTATGTATCAATGTGTGCAATGCGCATGCACCCACATACACTTGTGGTTGTTCCATGTTATTGGGAATAGTGTATGATTATACCTAATGGGTGCTACAATTACTAGCAGTCGTTCATTGCCAATATTGAGTTGAACCTGCATGTACATTGTACATGTACTACAAACATGAAACTGCCCCCCCCCCCCCCAGAATATAATAATAATTGTTATCCTCCTCAAGCTCTTTGCCTGTTGCTTTATGAGAAATACTAGGAGTGAACTATTGCAAGAGTTGTGATGCAAAGCTGGTGTGAACTGTGCTCAGGGTCAGTAGGCCTCGGCCTGGATCATGAATAACGTTGTGCATGGATCATGCCGATATCCAGATCAAGGGCTAAAAAGCCCAGGAACCATGGCCTCATTTAGTCTCCATGTATACTATAACAAGCTGGGGGACCATTCAATGCTTTTGACACAAAAAATTGGAGTAATACCACAAGGAATGCATAGAATGATCACCTTTCCTGAAAAATAGCAATTCCAAGAATGGTGGAAAATCGGCCAATTTTCTGTCCTATTTTTATTTTTGGAGGTCTAAAATGCACGGTAACCCCTCTAAAATTATATATTTCTAGTTTCTATGAAGTATGAGGATCCCAAAAATAAAATAAAAAGGGCATGTCCATGAAGAAAATATGAAGCTGTGCACCCAATTGTACTTTGCGGACGGGCATTTCTGCGAAGTTCATTTTTGTACCAAAATTACTATTTTTCTGAGTAGTCAATGCTGATTGCCAGATTTTCTTGCTCAAATGCTTCACTGTGATGTGTGAAAGGACTTGCAATCACAAAGAGAAGCCAGACAACTGGTAAATCTGAAATATGACCCCAAAACAAGCAAATTTAGGCTGAAATCGATAAATACACCCACCCCTAGAAATACACCTCAAACATCCTTATCTCCGCGGAAACACCCCCTGAATTTTTGTGGAGTAACATGGGATGATATAGAGCACACTCATCCACAAAAAGGAGAGGGTTTATGAAGAAAAAAAATCACCCCCAAAGGGTTGGAGCCTCCTTAAGGCCCCTGAGTAAATGAAAATACAAAACCACCCGAGGATCATCATGGTTCCATTGTACTGTCATTCACCTATAATAATTATGGTACTCTCATAGTCAAGGTATCAGACATCAGCTGTGACCATAGAATAGGAGTGGCATTCATTCTCTGTTACTTTTTTTGTGTACCCTTAGGGGCCGTCCGGGGTTACCGATTGTTTTTACAAAACGAAAAGTTTTAGTATTTTTCAGCCCCACCCACCCACCCACCTTTTCTGCAGGTAAAACGAATTCCAATAAAATATTGATGTCAATTTTCGACACCCAGAATATACTGGGCATTCTCCATCAGCATTCGATGATTATTTTCAAAACGAAACTCCATCAAACCCACCCACCCACAAACGAAAACATTTCGTTTAAAAAATATTATTGGTAACCTTGGACGGCCCCTTATCCATAAAATTCATGTATTCCGTAAAAGCATTGTCTGTGTATCTGACTATGTAGGCAGTAGCGTTGCCTTTGTATACTCGTTCGCGGTGTGCTACTATATAAATAGGTTTGTTTGCCCTCCAAGTCCATGGACACTTCCAGCGGTTTATTTCCTCATGGTTACATATTAATGGTGTGTGTGGACGTGTGTGTATGTACGTGTGTGCGCGAACGTGTGTGTCATGTTCTTCAGGGTATGGACTATGATTATGATAGCGAGGCGGAGTGGGAAGAAGAGGAACCAGGAGAGAGCTTATCAGATAGCGAGGTGAGACAAATCCTACCAAGAATGCGCGTCCGCATACTCTTGATTCCACCATGCTGGGGGGGGGGGGGGGTATTTTTACGTCAGCGCTGTTGCTGGCTTCATCAGAATTCTCTTGAGATTTGCAGTAGTGTTTTCTGCTCTCGTGTATACTGTACGGCAACAAATATTCGGCACATATTTATTTTCGGCCTGGTCATGTTTGGCCAAAAAATTGTTTTGCGATGTTCAGTGTGACAGTGTATACAGGCGGCAGCAGTACAGGCCGAAAATTTGATGCGGCCGAGCTGCGTTTTAGCCGTGGAAGACCGAAATTTGAATGGGCCGAACATTTGTAGATTTACAGTATGCCTTGAGAGAGAGAGAGAAAGAGTAGGGCAAATAAAACGATCTTGCTGGAAGACAATTTTAGTTGCTCTTCCCTCTATGTGTGTGTATGACGTACAAACAAGACATGGTTTTGCTTGTACATTGTGTATGTGTGCATGGTTGACCTCATCAGTGTGTGTTCGTGTGTGTGCCTATCTACACATCCACAAATATCTTCTCTCTGTGCTCATACTGTATAATAATATACAGAAACGAATGGAATGCTCATGCTCAGACCATGCTCATAACGCACAGGTAGACAGATTTATTTTAATATCGTTTTCACGTGATATCACTGCAGTCATCGGTTCATTTATGTTGTTTCCGTCTGTCATTCCTTGCTGTGTGTGTGTGTGTGTGTGTGTTCAGGGAGAGGAGAAGGAGAAGGAAGACGGAGAAGAAGACGAGGAGGACAATGACGGCTTTCTTGTTCCGCATGGCTACCTATCCGATGATGAGCGCGACGGTAGTGACTTGGAACAAGAGCTGGATCCTCAAGCGGCTGCGTTGCTTAGAAAAGTCGCTCCGACTGGTGGAGTCCTGGCTGGTCCAGAGCAGCTCAAGCGATTTCCCGTCATGCCTCTTCTTGCCGCTTGTCCTGTTAATCCGCTGGCATTCACCTTAGCCGCAGCCGCACCGACCAAGAAGATCGTAACGTTACTTAAGGTTCCCGCGTCAAAATGAGGCGCGCGCGACCGTGCGTGCGTCAGCTTTAGGTGTTGCCCGTGTGTGTGTGTGTGTGTGTGTATGCGTGTGTCCATCAGGCGAGCGTAGGACAGTCGATAGTAACACTGTGTGTTGCTGCTGCTGCTGTGGTGGTGGTGGTGGCAGCGACTGCTTGATCCTCTAGTTTGTACATACTGAAGTAGGTATTTTATGATAGTAGTAGTAGCAGCGGCGGTGGTGGCATTGCGATACACGTCCGCGCACCGCTACTGCCTGTACAGTAAGACATCGGTTTTCATCGCATATTAAACGGACTGACTGAACATAACAGTATTATGCATTTTCACAAGTGTGTGTGAGCGAGTGTACATTGCTGCAGCGGCTCTGCGCCGAACCTTTGCGTTGCTACTGCGCTCATCTATCCTTGTGTTCCAGGCTGTCACACGAGACTTTTTAGCTTCTTTTTTATTTGCTGTACTTCGAACAAGAAGTACCTAGGTGCCTATATCATCGCTGTTGCCATGGACACCCGATGTTGCCATGGATATCCGCTGTTGCCATGGATACCAGTATGAATTTAGTAGCGTTGCATTCTCTTTGTTTTCTCCCATGCTCTACACACGCGCAACGTGACGCGACGAGAACAGTTTTTTTCCAGGTTTTCAAAACTATTTACTATCTTATTTTGCGTCCCCTTTCAGCTTTGCCGCTTTTCGGCACTCCGCCGTCGTCCCCTCCTGCGGTCTGCGTAGCCATGGTTACAGTGCTCCTGGATAGCGATGTTTGTATGTGTCGTGTCATTGGTGCGTGCACTGTGGCAGTGCGGTTCGCTGCTCGCTGAACAGTTCGGCCCACTGACAATCCTCAGTCGCTGCTGCTGTTGCTACAGTGCTGCTGCTAGTGCTGTGCTGTATGTGTGTGTGTTCTAGCTCGATTCTCTCTGAACTGCACTCGTCTGGAGTCTTGCCTATTGTGCTGCTGTTGAGTTGTCGCCAGCAAATGCTCACCGCCCGTCGTGTACAGTTGTAGTTTCCACAAAGGTCTTATTTTCGTATAGCCGTTTGGTTGGGCTGGGCGATATCTGAGCCGCTCAACCCTCTGTCAGTCTGTGTGCTCTTGCGCACTCTGTTTCTTTTTTTTCTGGTGTGCCAAACTGCTCACCTAACTAACTAACACTATCATCTACCTGATCTACTGGCAGCATGGTGCTGCTGGCCACTGAGTCACTGAGTCTGTTGGATGTCCCTGTGCACTGCGGTCATAATTACCGGTAATGGCAGCCACTGCACTGGCTGCAATACTGTGTGCAGTGTGTGCTACTATTATGTATCATAGCAATGACGTCAACTTGAAATTCTGTCGGGACTGCACCCGTCCCCACCCAGAGTCAAGTTACACACTCTTGGGGGGGGGGGGGG